ATTCCTTCCCCCATTCCATCTTTATTTCCTCTTTTCCTTCTTTTTTTTAATATTTTCTCATCATAATCATTCTTGTTATTTTCTTTTCCACTTCTCTTTCTTCTTCTTTTTCTTCTTCTTCTTCACTTTTTCTCCCCTTAATACTACTACTACTATACTATCTCTCTCTCTCTCACACACACACACACACACACACACACACACACACACACACACACACACACACACTTTCTCCCTCCCTCCTTACTCAAGGGAATGACGATATACAACATCCGCGTCCTGAGTAAGATGATAAACTACATCCGACAGCCAGGTCTCTTGAGGTTTTGGGAAGCATGGAACCACCTCTTAATTGCTGGTGTTCCCAGGTCCATCCTGACCCGGGGTGGTAGCACCTGTTAGGGTCCCAGCTATGGCAAATAGTTAAACTCCAAACTGGGATCAAAACACTATGAAAGTGTAAAAATAAAAGTGCAATGACAAAAGTACGCAGCTGTATGTTTTAAGAAAGTTATATTCAAAGTTCGCGTATAGTGTCCTTTTATAGTCCCAGTAAACAGAAATAGCTCTTCCAAAGAGGAGAGTAACAAAAAAAGGGGAAACCACTCTTGATTATTTATAAGTGTACAAACAATACATTTTTGTAAAAATTATTACCAGCAATTCATTTTTGAAAAAAAATATTAACAGCAATACATATAAATAAATAAATAACCCATTGAGGTTGATATACCGTAAAACCAAACGTTACATTTTTGAAATAAAAAAATTACCAGTTATACATTTTTGTAAAAATATCACCGGCAATTTATTTTTGAAGAAAAAAATATTACCAGAAATAGATTTTAGAAGGAAAAAAAATACCAGAAATATATTTATGAAGAAAAATATTACCAGCAATAAAAAATCTTGTCGGCATTAAATAGATAGATAGATAGATAGATAGATAATAGAAAATATTGAACAATAAAAAAAAATTGTCAATTAAATAACCCATTTTCCTAAATAAAACAAACCAAACCAATAGATAGATAGATAATAGATAGAATAGATAGATAAAGATAGATATAGATAGATAAATAGATAGATAGATAGATAGATATTTTATAGATTTTAGATAGATAAACCAAAAAAAAAAATCTTGTCGGCATTAAATAACCCATTGTTGATTGATTTGTCATAAAATAAAACAAACCAAACCAATAGTTACATAGATAGATAGATAGATAGATAGATTTTAGACAGATAGATAATAGATGCATAGATAGATAGATAATAAAACCAACAATAAAAATGAATGTTTTATATTTAATAACCCATTGTTTTTTATGTTTTTTCTTTTTAAAACAAACCAAACCAATAGATAGATAGATAGATAGATAGATAGATAATAGATAGATATATAGATAGAAAAAGAAAATATAACTAATATAAAATATATGTCGGCATTAAATAACTTTTATGTAGTTGATATACCCTAAACCAAACCAAACCAAACCAAACCTCCCTCCTTAATTTTCCTAGTTTTCCTTACTTTCATCAACTCCTCCGTTGTTTAAAACCCAATCTTAAAACGCCGTCTAATTTTGTTTTCTCCATCTGACTTCTGTCTTCCATCTTCCGGAGTCCAAAAGAACTTCTTTCAATCTCGACATTCTTTGAAGTGTACTAGACTTCACCAGTTTCTCCTCTTCCTTTCCCTCATTCTTTTAATTCCCCTCTTACTACTCTCTCCTCCTTTCCCAACACTCTCTTTCCTCCTCCGACATTTTTCATCATCTACTGAAAATTCTTTTGAAACAGCTTCTTATTCCTCTATGTGCTGTGTTCCTTCAGGAAGTGAGTAATCATGGCTCTCCACAACATCCTGTCATTTATAGCTCTTAGTATGTATTGTCTTTTTACTCTCTCTCTCTTAATCCTCGTTCTCTCAACCAATTACACAAGATCGTTAGATAGCTGACTAGCTGCTCGCCTCTGTTTCTCTTTCCTTCAGTCTGTCTTGTAAGTGTCAAATTCTTCAGACCCTCTTTCCTCATTATGTACCCTAGACATTTCAACTGTCTCTTTATGATTCTAAGGGTAAGTGTTCTTTTTGCTTCCGGTTTTACGTAAAATCTCCTTGTTATTCAGTCCGTCTTTGCATCGTTCTGTAGAAATACATTTCTATTTCTCTAAGTCTTTTTTTCATCTGTGAAGAGATTGTCTAACATTCTCTGCCATATAGGAGAATTGATATCACATAACAGTTCCGTAGTTTTTTTTTCTTTGTTCCTAACGAAATATTTATGTTTCTTAATACTTTGCTTAGCTTTTTGAAGTCACCTTTCGCAAATTGCGATAAATTTCGCTGCTCCATTTTCTGTCCCCTGTTAAAACAATTCCTAGACATCTAAATTGTTATACTTGCTTGATGTTGGCGTCGCCAATCTGTAAATCGTATCTTGGGCTGTCCCTTATTCTATCTTCTTACAGTTAAAGTTTAATCCTTTCTTCACGCTTTCTTTATGTAGGAGTTCCTGTAGTTTCATTATGTGTCTGCTAACAACGTTGTGTTATCTGTTTATCTTAATTTGTTAAGATTGTAGCAACGAATAATGAATCCTGATAAGACTTCTAATTCTATCAGGATCACCTTATTGTAAAGATTAAATAATCCCAGTGAGGACACACGTCCTTATCTTATGTACCTTTCTGCATTTATTTTTTTATCCATATACAGGTGACTGGATACCAGTATAAGACCTGGATTATTCTGTCTTTCCTAAATAAATCAAGCTTACCTGGTAGTTCGAATAGTTCTTTGTGTCGTACTTTATCAAACGCCTTTGCATCATCTATAAAACATCTGTATACGTCCTTCTGTAGTTTTATTGATCTTTCTTAGCATAAATATTGCATTCCTTGTTACAATGTGCTATTTCTGCTTTAATTCTCCCATGAATTCTTATCAAAATTCGAAGGATAAGTTTTGTTATTCGGCGCATTAACCTGACCGCCCGATGGAGTTCTCATTCGTTTACACCTGACTGCAACTTTTTTTTATTTTACTTATTTACTTATTTACAGCAGTTTCACGCTAAGCGAATTTACAAACGTTAAGAATTTAGCAGTACTTATTTCGATTAAGCGCGTTACTTAGAACGATTATTTCACTACTTATGTCATCATCTATCTCGAACAGTAAATTGTTAAGTGCGTTACTTAAATGAGTTTTTCAAATTTGATAAAAGTGGGCTGAAATTGTCAAATCGAATATGAAAAACTTGAAATGCTGCAAATTTATTATTTATCAAAAATTTAATTACCTTCTTAGATGGCAATGATATAAATGACAGATAGCTATTAAAATGCACTGTTGATTATCTGCGGCCAATTTGTTTTAATAATACACTGCCTATTGTTTCTGTAAATAAAATGGTGCACTAAAATAAGTAAGCAAGTAATCGTTTTAAGTTCTATGACTATCGATGCCTTTTTCATAACTGTTTCCATGATTTATTTTCATTTCACGTCTTTTTAAGGGAAAGTGACAACTGGAAATAATTAAATTCCTAGTATTTATTCGATTATTCTATTACGCTTTATCGTTTATCTGTTCTACGTTTCTATTATATACATATATATATATATATATATATATATATATATATATAGTTTATGAAAAACTAGGTAATCCGTATGGGTAAACCTAAGGAGGATAAAATCCAGAGAGCTCAATGCAAATCCAGAACAAATAAATTAAATAAAAAATCCACCACTTTAAATTCCATGTAATAAATTATTTCACCATTGCCTTTTCAATTTTTGGATCATCAAACTTTTGTTTCCAAAAACTTTTCATTTTTTTGTTTGGAAGTAAAGTCTGATGATTTAAAGTCTTTGGTTATGCTGTCATCTTAATTTATTATATATGGAACCTATACATTTTTATGTTATTTATATATATATATATATATATATATATATATATATATATATATATATATATATGCATGTATGTATGTATATACACTCAAGTTCAAAGGTTTGAGGCCACCCAGGAATTTTTTTTTATATTGGCCCCCAAAAAATAGATGTTTTTTACTTAAAATAAAAGAAAAGTGTTATTCATATCTTAAAAAACGTGCAAAATGATTTTTATTATAAATTATAAATTTTATTATGAAAAAAAGAAAAAATAGCATTTTAGGATTAAATTTTGCTCTCGTCAAAATATCCTTCTTTAGCCTTCATTACTGCAGCACAAATTTTTTCGCATTCTTTGCAAGAATTTCTCAAAGTATAACTTTGATAAGTAATTCCATTCATTTTCAATGAGCCATAAGAGCTCTTTTTCATTTTTGGGATAGAAAGGCTTCACTCTTATGTCAAGTTCACCCCATGCTAATTCTCTTCAAATTTTAAATTGTATTTAAAATATATATATATATATATATATATATATATATATATATATATAATATAAATATAAATATAATGAAAAGAGAGATTTAACAAACATAACAGGTTTCTCGTAATCTTTCGCATAAGAATCAAACACAACATTGTTCCGCCATCTGCAATAGTCTTTTAACCGGGAATATCAGCCTTTCCTTTTTGCAGCTCACTCTTACAGGCGATGAAAAATGGATTTTACATTTTAACAGAAAACGATAATGACAACCATTATCACAAAATGAGAAACCAGTGCCAATACCAAAACGTGGGGAGAATTACTTGAAGAATACGAACAGTCTCGTCCATTATAAGCTTCTGAAACTTGAAAGAGCCATCTCTACAGATGTTTATTGTCAGCAATTTAAACGAGAAAACAAAGCATGATGTCGTTGGTAAACCGAAAACGTATTACTCTCCGACATGACAATTTCTCAGCTTTTGTTAACTATTAACTAAAATTTAATAATAATTGACAATGTTTCATATAAGAAATTCAAACAGTTTAAGACTATGACATCTGTTAGTATTTTTAGTTGACAACAAAATATTAATACGAATAT